TAATAAAATGCCAAAAGAGAAACGTAAAAGTTATCCTGCTTTTATAAAACTTGATGCTATTAATTATGCAAAACAAATGAGTAATCATGCTGCAGCATGAATGTTCAGTGTTAATCATACACAAATTAGTAGATGGCAAAAAAAAGAAGAGAAATTGAAAAAAGCAAAACAAACAAATCGTAGAATAGGATCAGGTGCCTTATTATTGTATCCACTTGCTGAAGAATTATTAAAAAAGTGAATAATTGGTTTGCATGAAAGAGGAATAGGTGTTACACCTTCTGATGTTAAGAGTAATATGAAATGTCTACTTAATACAGAGTTTAGACAAATATATCCTAATGCTATTTACAAATTTCAAGCTGCAGATACATGGTTTTATCATTTTATAAATCATTCAGACTTTTCTCTTCACAGACGTACAAAAGTTTCTCAAAAGCTTCCTAAGGATCTGCAAGAAAAACTTTTAATGCTTCATGAAGACATTTATAAATTGCGAAGAAACAATAATTTTAATCTAAATTGCATAGCTAATGTAGATGAAACACCCATCTTTTTTGATATAGTTGGTGCTCTTACACTTGATTATCATGGTACTCATTCAGTATATTTACGTACTACAAAAAATGATAAAAATCAATTCACTTGTGTTTTAGAAGTTTTAGCAGATGGAAGCAAGCTTCCACCTATGATCATATTCAAAGGAAAATGAAAGCCTAAAGGTCAGTTTCCACCAGGATTAATCATTAGAATGCAGAGTAAAGGGTGGATGGATGAAGAATTAATGAAAGGCTGGATAGAATCTGTTTGGCTACGAAAAGCTGAAAGTCAAAAAAGATCCTTGTTAGTATTGGATGCATTTAAAGGACATACGACTGATCCTATAAAAGATAAACTTCTAAAATCTAATACGGTTTTAAGTATTATTCCTGGAGGACTTACATCTGTTGTACAACCTTTAGATATAAGCATTAATAAACCATTTAAGGATAGACTTCATGAGCAATAGAAATTTTGGATGGCCATGGAAGAACATAGATTTACTAAAAAAGGAAATATGAAAAAACCAGAACCTGATTTAATGTGTTATTGGATTATGGAAGCGTAGAATAATATTTCACCAAAAATTATATTCAAGTCTTTCAAGAAATGTAGAATATCTAATGCTTTGGATGGTTCGGAAAATGGATTAATTGGCATAAATGAAGAAAATAACGATGAACATTTTGTTGTGCTCAATAATGAAAATAAGAACGAAAGTATTGAAATAGTATCTTTGATTTAAAATATTTGCGAATTTGCTATTATTTAAATTTGCTATTATTGTTTGCAATACATATTTGTTTCTGTTATTTTTAGTAATATGCTTATAACACTAGTAAAAGAATAAAATAACAATTAATTATGCAATTGATATAAATTATCCTATTATAAGTTTAACTTATATTTTAAATTTTAAGTCACGGGAGTGCTTATTTATGATCAACAATTTTATTTATAAGGGGTGCTTATTTACAGTGGGTGCTTATTTACAGTAGAATACGGTATTATTCATTAGCAATATCATTTTTTATTTACATATAATTTTATTTTCAGTTATATAGCTAATTTAGCTATCTAGTTAGTATATTAAAAACTATGGTTTATATAAATTCTGACAGGCTACTTAACATCCTAAATACTAATACATATTATATAAAACATTAAATCAATTTCTTATATTAAAATAAAATAGTAGATTTTATTTTTCTATCAACTACTAAAAAGTAGTGGTACATCTACGTAGATTATATATATATATTATTATTAGTTCTTTTTATCGTTATTGTAACTAAGGATAGTTGATTAGTCAGTCGACTAAAACTGTTAGCTATCGACTGACAAACTAAAAATTGACTAATCGATTATTCGATTAGTCGTCCAGGTGATTAGTTGACTAATCAATTAACAGTGGACTTTCAATAATACTGTATTTTGTGTACAGCTAGCCGTCTACAGCTAACTGTACACAAAATATCATTGAAAGTCCGATGACAGGTTTCTTTTGACGGCACTCATATGAGTGACGGCCTAACAATTATTACTGTATTAGTATTAGAATTGCCTTAATGAATGACATTAAAATCTTAAGTATTTAATTGGGTTTTTTGATATTTCTACTAAAAGTATGTTGACTAATAGTTAGCTATATATACAGTTAAATTTTCATATTTAACTTAATTAATTAGACAACTAACGATTTTATGATTTCTATTCTTTGTTATAACTTTAAATTTTTCACAAGAAATACTTTGGCTTATACGTATATCTATTGTATATCGTTCATGTTTACAGTATGGTAGGCTTTAATACTAATTAGTCAATTACTAAATAACGATAATCATTATATGCATTGTCTAACTTTAAAAACTGTCAGTATGAATTATTAAATACGTATATTGATGTTTTTCTCTTTTTTTTGTAACTATAAAAAGCTTTTTGGCATTTCAACATTATATACGTAGTTTTACACAATGAAATTTATTACATAAACCTTTTATACTAACAATTTAAAAAAAGAATTTCGCATTTTGGGTTTGATTTTATTATACGTATATACACCTTAACCCTAGCCCTAACCCTAATTTAACTAGGGAATTCCAAGTCCATTCCCACTTACGACATAAAATCTGCATGACATGTTGATTGACTGGTATATCACCTAAATTTATATCCTATTTGATGGTTTTTCATTCATGCTAGAGTAAAAAGTCGTTTTTGGCATAAAGAATATAGAACATTCTCCAGTGGTGTATTTTAATTTGTTAGGTAAACAAGATCATCATTGTACATAAATTGTACGTAGTATACGTGCTATCTAAAAATCTTATTGCTTGCTATATTAAATTTCACCAGTTTCACCAGCATCTATAGTACATAGGTAGGTATGTACGTAAGATGTTGAGTAAATATGTAGCATATGCCCCCTTATATCACTAATCTAACTGCTAATGGTATTTACCAACTCACATCACTAATCGTAGAACATGCATAACAGTGATTGATTCAGATTGGCTGAACATGCATGGATTATCACGGAACATTACATAATTTGTTGAGCAAATAGATACGTATTTCTTTATGGTCCCCTGCCCCTCCCCCCTGCATGTGAGCTCCAAAAGGAACATAATTTATAACTTCAAACAGTATAACATAAACCACGTGCACAATCAAATGTTTATTTTTAAGACTCGATCTTTTTAGTTTTAGAAATTTATTAAAAATTCTGCATGATTGTTTATGATTATTTTGCTATAATTTATGTATTATTATATTATTGTATTTGTGTATTAACAAATTTGGTTCAATTTGAATTAAAATTTATAATAAGGACTTTGTTCACCATTTTTATTAGGACTACAAAGAGCTCGAAGTCAGGGTATTATACAATTTTTTGTTATTTCCATGCTATAAAACTCAATGTACTGGTACATGGAGTTCATACCCTTCTTTAAATCATTATTTTCTTACTGTTTATACTTTTTAATTCATAATTTTATTCCAATAAAAATGTCAGCTTCAACGAGAGGTATTTAAAAAGTATAAACTGTTTAAAATGTATAATGTATATATAAAGTTTTTAGTTAAACGATCCTTTATCTACAAATACCATGATTACTTCTCTAGATTCGTTAGAAACGTCAAGGATAGATGTTAATGAGGAGTATGTTCCTCTTCTCGAAGCTGAAGATAAAGTCAAAGACACAAACGAAACGATCTTCATAAGACTTCAAACTTTATTACGTAAAATGCTCGCATATATTCTTTCATTATTCAAGAAAGAAACAGTAGAGACTTCACCAAATCCGCCTAGTATATTAAGACCAAAACCTGATAAAACAAAACTTAAAATTTTTATTGGAACATGGAACATGCATGGAAAAGTGAATATCTAAAAAAAAAAAAAATTTTTATGTGATTTCAAATATTTAATCTATTTAATCTGATCTTTATCCGAATGTATATTATTATTGTTAGCTCCCTCCACATAATCTTGACCCTTTTATTGAAACTATAGATGTTAAATCGGATTATAATACCCGAGAGGCTCCTATACTTACTCGAAAGGTTCAACACCCATATCATATCCTAGTAATAGGAACTCAAGAATGTCAACATAACATTCAACATTCAGTATTTTTTCCTTCAAAAGAGGAATGGGAGTCAAGATTAATAGGATATCTAGGTGATACTTATGTCCTCGTTAAAACTGAAACGATGGCGGCGTTGCATTTGGTAATTTATTATTAATAAATCATGATAATAATGATAATAATGATAATAATGATAATGATAATAATGATAATAACGATAGTGATAATAATGATAATAACGATAGTGATAATAATGATAATAACGATAGTGATAATGATGATAATAATGACAATGATAATAATAATTATAGCAATAATATTATATATTATTAATATTAATTTAATTTAATTTAATTTATTTTTTGTTGAGTAGTAAATACGTATTAATTGTTAATTATGTTAATTATACTACCTAGGCTGTATTTGTTTGGAAAGAGTGCGAGGATTGGGTTCTAGGTACGACTTTTATCCATTATTAATCATTATAAAATTTATTATATAAATATTTTAAATGATATCGATATTTTTAAAATATTATCTTAAATAGACTATCAACATGATGCGGTAGCAACTGGATTAGCTAATTTGTTTGGAAATAAAGGTGGTATTGGTATTTCAATATTATTTGGAAATACATCATTATGTTTTATAAATAGTCATTTAGCAGGTTTGTTTCAATTTAAAAATTATTTTTATTACTTTAAAATTTCAATTATTTATTATTAGTTTTTTTTAAAAAAATTTAGCACATCAAAGTAAAGTTAAACAACGAAATCATGATGTGAAAAAAATATCAAAAGAATTGAAATTAAAAGGATTTAAACAGGAAGATAAATGTATGCTTTATTGTTATTATTATTTGTTTCTTTATTTAGAATATATACTTATTTTTTATTTTATATATTATTTTAAAAGCTCAACCAAATGTTACTGATAGGTTTGATTACACTTTTTGGTTTGGTGACATGAATTACCGTATTGACTTACCAAGATTGGAAGTTGACCAATTAATTTCTAAAAAAGATTTAAAAGTGAGTGTATATCGATATTACGTATTTGCTAGTTCGTAATAATTATGTATCAAGTAATTAACCTGTTAATATCATATAATATAATATCATATAATACAATATAATATAATATAATATATAATTCAATTAAGACTCTCCTGCACAACGACCAATTAAAACAAGAACTTTCAAACTTCCCCTATTTTTTTAATTTCAACGAACATAAAATAGATTTTAATCCAACATTTAAATTTGATATAACTCATCGAGTAAATCATAATGATGAATATTCCCCATTATCACGATCTTCATCTCCATCTGTATTAGTTGAATCAAATTCTCCAAGATACGATTCAGGTCCAAAGCAACGTGTACCAAGTTGGACTGATAGAATAATTTTTAAAACACGTTTACCACCACCAAAACATGGTAAAGGCAAGAGAATTGAAGTTGGAAAATATACTAGTCATATGGATGTCGTGGGTTTTTCTGATCATAGACCTGTTACTGGTTGCTTTTTCGTAGACTTTGATTGGAGATTAGAAAAAGAACTTTTAGAAAGACAATTATCATCGGAAAGATTAGATCAAGATCAAATGGACTCTGCTAGTACTAATAGTGATAGCAATAGTAGTAAATCTGGTATTAAGACAAGAGGTATTGGTGCCATAAGAAAGAAAAAAAGTTTTTGGAAAGTTTTAAGGAAAATTTAATATTCTTTCATTAGTGCATCGCACTCAAAAATTACATTCAATTTATGATTTTGATGACTTCGCTCTTTATTTATTTTTAATTACCACTCTTTTAATTTTTCATGGTAGTAGAAATGCAATACGTATGAATCGTGTTAATAATTGTTTACGAATCTTTAATTCTTATATACATGTTTTATTTACCTACAAATTTAATTCTCATATTTTAATACAATACAAAATTCCTATAATAGTGATAGGTAATTAATTAATCGATTAAGTTAACATCGATTATTATTTATTTATATTACCTTCTATTTCATGTTCAAACATTGTATAACGCAATATATACAAACGTAATTTACAAATAAATTTCAGTGGGCAGTCATATGAAAATTTCTGTCAAGCAGTAGAGAAAAAAGAATGTAAATATCGAAAGGCTCTATAAAATAATATAATTAACCGTATATAAAATGTTAAATATAATATAAATATCGAGTTCACTAACAAAGTAACACTCATACATTTTTTGATTATAAAATGGATACAATGAAACCATAAGTGTGAATACATATATTATTGAAAAAAAAACGTTGCCAAAAAAAATTATTAATAGATCAACAATAAATTATATAAATATTACGTAAAACAAAAAAAACATACAACTTATTGTGGTTAAAAAATATACAAATATTAATCCTACCCAATTTTTGTTCTCTTAAAATCACCACATATATCATTTTCGTTAATTTTATTTCCATTACAACTATCTTCATCGGTTATATGTGACGACAGCGTACGTTTAGTACTGGTATTTATTGTATCTGAGAAATATGTAGGAGGTTGACCCCATCCACTCGAGGTATCTATTGCATTATCATTTTCATTCCAGTCATCATTTAAACATCCCCAGGTTGATACTTCATCTCGAGGGATCGAGAAAGGTTCTTTATATTCAAATTCTATCTCTTCAATAGGATTATCATAAGTTTCATCCTTTATTCCTAAATCAGGACAACCGGTAGACAACAAATACAAATTATTTTACAGTAACTATATTATTATAAATGATATCTTGAAGATATATTCTACGGTAATTATATTATTATAAATGATATCTTGAAGGTATAATCACATACCATCGACTGATATGTTATCAGTATCTTGAGGTTCAATTCCATTTTCCTCTTCTTCTTCTGCGTTTAATATTCCTTGTATCCAATCACCGAATGATTGAATATAAATTTTACCCATTTCCTTTGTAATTCCTTTTTCTTGTGCCAAATCATATTTTTTACCACCTTCTAGAAACTCTGAAAACATTTTTGACTGACCCAAAACTCCAGTTGGAACTTTATTTACTTTCTTATCACTTTTAACAGTAAGCCAACAATGAGTATCATCAATCCATTGAAAAAATATTTCTCCATATTCTTCAAAAATGACATTCATTGTCGCTTTAGAGCAAGATACTGGAATTTTTGATAACAAGAATCCATTCGTTCTTGTTGGAGGAACTAATAATAAATGAAGTAGTAAATATATTTATAAACATGAAAAAAACAATAAGTAAATAAAATATCATCACTTACATCCGTCATCACCATCCAAATTTATATATTTGAAATCTGATCTCAATAGATGTAATTTATTATAAAAACGCGTCAATTTGTCTGTTGACATCATATACTGAAATAAATTCATTTCATCTTTTTCTATTTCATCTGGAGGTGTTTCCATATCTTCATTTGGCAGTCCGTTTTCCGGACAATCACCCAATACATTAGCATAAACATCAACCTTCTCCTCTAATCATATATTAATAAGGGAACTTGTTATGAAATTTATTAAGATTGATGATAGATAATGAGATAGATAATGAAATAGACAACTCCATATATTGTACCTTTTTCATGGAGAATAAATACTGCCATTCTGATAAAGTTATACCCAGTAATATACGCGTCGTAACCGGCCTCGTGATTCTTATTTACATCATTCAACGTATATTGAGTGAATTTAGGGTCCAGAACTGTATAAAAATATTTGCTTTAGCAATGATCTTATTTATAACTTGGTAATGATGTAAAAATAGGCATACCAACTTTCGGAGCTAACTTCTCAAATTGTTCATATTGAACAACTTCTAAAATATCTTGGACACTATTTCTTGGTAAAAGTGACTAAAAATTGTGGAAACATTGTTCCGGTAATTACGAAATTAATAAATAAATGAATATATATATATAATAACATAAAACAATTCTTTACCTGCAACTTTCGATGTGTTGCTGCCAAATGCTTTGTGTCAATAACTCTATAATTTCATTATTAAATATTGTTTAATTAATTTAATTAACAATTTAACACGTTATAATAATGACTCTTACATATTGAATAATTCGTGCACGAGTTTTTTCCACTCCTTCAAATTTTCCGGCAAATCTTGCCAAAATTGATGAACAACCTGACAAATATCCAGGAGACAATTATGACCTACCAGAGGTTTTTTGGATTGTATCAAGAGCTCAATAATAACTCGAAAATTTATACTAGAAGCTAAAGCCTGAACAAAAAAAAAATATTTTTTAGTTATTCATATATCTAAAACACGCACTGATATTATTTGTCTGAAGTTTACTTCAACTGCCTCGTCTCGGGAAAATTTATCCTTTTGTTCATCTGACAACTTTCCAAGCACTATACATTTAGGCTTGCTCTCTGCAGAGACGAGTCCACTGAACCTACATATTGAACATTAATATTTTTAATATATAGGTAATCTCTACACTAGATTAAATGAAATCAGAAAGCTTCTAACCTTGCCCTGATTTCCTGAAATATCAGTCGTTTCTGACTAATATGTGGGGTTGATATTTTTAACTGTTTTTCATTAGTGTCTAACCACGCTTCGATTGAAGCACTATTTTTTTAATATATGACACCACAAGTCAGACTAAGTAAATACATCCGTATAAAATCAAAAGATTTATTTCACGAATCTTAAGTATTGATATCGAACAAATTTAATAGAATTATCAAAACTCACATAGCTTTATCCACGAACACTTTAGTTTCATCATCCGGTGGACTATCTAAAAGTATCAAAACCTAATTAGTTTATATTTAAAAAATAATAATAATATAATATAATACAATATATGACGTTACCTGTCTGCCTTTGTGCAATATCAGCCCTTTTCTGTAAAAGCTTTACTTCATCCGTATGATTCAAATATGGTAATCCTATGTATAATTGAACATACGATTAATAAATTAAACTAAAAAAAAATACCTAATCGGAGATAGTTAAATTAAAATTTACCTTGAGAAATCAACTTGTTAAAATCAAAACCACATTTCATCAAGAAATGTAAACTTGATCCACTACACATGAAACAAATATCGTTGAAATCTCTTCTATCAGAATTAGCAGGAAAAATATAGAAATTATAGGGGCGAGCAACAAAAGTATCTTCTTCTTCTGAGTATGTAAAGGTACATAAGCCAAATTGAATAATAAGAAACTAAACCATGTAGGAAAAAAAATTGGCCTGTTAATAAATTTATTCAGAACGCGACTAATATGTATCGGATACGACGCGTTTTGACTTGCCTTGGTAGCTGCTGCTCGAACCTTTAAATATCTTGATCGAGGATCATCAAAACTTTTAATTCGTTCAATGTGTTCGCTAAGTCCTATTATTTAGTATATAATTAACATATTTTTCAAGCGTTGCTGGAACTTTTCTTGTCGCACCCACCTGTTAATTCAGTATCTATAGCTATAAAATCGGCCCCTTGAATAGCTTCTGTAATAGTTGGCAAAAGCTCGTGGAAATTATTTTTGAGAACGTCCATTTTGTAATGTTTGAATTGGTTATTTCATAAAATTCTCGAAATAAACCATTTTGCTTTTTTTTTAAAATGACGTTTCTCAACTAATGACATAACGATAAGTGACATATAACCGATCATGTTTAACCAATCATGCTACAACACGTCAAATAGTAGCATTAAGCGAATATAAAGGATTTTTTTAACTTATATTTCACAACTTTAATCAGAAATGTATAATCTCCTTCAACGTGCTAATGCGATATTCGCCTTTTCGATGACAGTCACTTTTGGCGTCCTTGGAGCAATAGCGATAGTGACGCCATTTTTACCTTCTTTCCCTTCAGCTCAAATTAATGTCAAAGATATACAGGTCATTTCATATGACTATATGTCTCAGGGCGAGAGTGAGTTTGCATTTGTGAAATTGCAACTCGATGCTGGTAAGTTTTTTTTTTTAAAAAAATTCTTTATATGTTTATGTTTCATTGTGTCTCACGTATATTTGTTACTTGTGTCCCACATAACCTTTTTTTTTTTTTTAAGACTTAACCTCTCTATTCAATTGGAACACGAAACAATTATTTGTCTCTGTTGTTGCAGAATATGAAACTAAATCGCATGTACGTTAGACTTTGAAATTTAACATTAGATCGAATTAGATTTTAGAACGCGCATTTTGACAATATCAACATTTATGTAGGATATTAACCAAGTAGTTTTATGGGATTCGATAATTCAATCAAAAGAAGAAGCACACATCAAAGTCTCAGATTTACATAATGAGTATAATTTTGTTGATATCACAACAAGTTTCCGGTAAGTCTGGTGCTTAATAGGTTTTTTTTTTTATATACGTCTAAATTGACTGAATCTTTTGTGTCCAAAGTCAGGTGAATGCATCGTATTCCTTACATTGGGACGTAATGCCATATGTGGGAATGTTAATAAATGGGCATACGACATCTAACCAATTTATTAAATTTCCTCCACGGTCAAATGAGTATAGATAACATTATTAAATAATATATTCTCGTATATAATATATTTGCAAAATATCAAGACATCTTTTTTGATTTAATTTTTTTTTATAAATGGTAATTACTTTTGGGGGGTTTGAGATTTGTCGGAAAGTATATACCAAATACGAGATTATAGAAATACAATTAATTCAATCCATTAATTCAAACCATTATTATTTGTATTATAATGAAGGACTATTTCCATTATAAGCAGTTTTTTTTTGCTTGATATACATTGGAACTCATTTAAATTTCGATGATTATACATTGCTTTTAATAAGTCTTGATATTCTTGTCCTGCTACGGACAACTATCACCCATTTTCTAAACAGTTCATTGCGATTGGCGGTACATTATTCAGAGAGCTATTCCATTTATCTTTTTTTTCTTTTTTTTTTTTGTTACAAGAATTCAAATTACCCAGGAAATTGTGTAACACCTTATATATAAAAAAAAAAAAATCGAAATCTATCTTAATTACAAAATTTAACTGACAATAGTAAAAAAAGCATAGTTTTGTATTATATAAAATAATATTTTCCAGATTTATCGACTTTTATCCATTATGGACTTTAATAGATCTTAGAAATTATAAAGACAAATGATGTCAATCTGAATTTCATATTTACATACAAAAGATTTTGCTGAAATTAATATTATGACAAATAAAAATTTTGCAAAATTAATTTAATATACATATGACATGTTCTAATTAATGCTATTTGGTCAAATTTCCATGTATTAAAATCACACATATTTTACTTTACATATGTATATTTTTTTGGTCAAAAGTATATTCTTAAGAATGCTCAGAGTCATGAATTATCGTAAATATTTATAATAAGTTACCAAATCATCGATAGTTTATCAAGTAAATTACCATACAAATTATCAACTGTTTACTATCCTGAACTGTTTCGATATCAATCTATCCTTTCTTTGACTTAATGCCAGCCAAAGTTTATGATTAAATCCATCGTAATTCAATAATTTACCACAAAAGGATCAGTAACTTACACTAATTCTCTTTAACTTACTATCAATAAGTTACCCCTGATCATACCTTTCGAAATCGAAAAAAATTGACTGAATGAAATATTTGTATGATGAAAGCCTAACAAATAAATCTAATTTATTTAATCGGTTTTAATTATTCGACATACCCACAAGATTTTTCCGGCACGTGCTTTTTTGCCAATTAGATCGAAGTTAGGATAAGGAAGATCATAGCTTATACTAAAATTTCACGAGGAATTTTTTTTATTAGAACGCAGAAGGCAGTTTCATAGCAAAATTTCGAGTTAATAACAGCTGATCCTTCAATCTAATTGGATATGGTCACGTGCCAGAAAATATCTTGTGGATAATTAAATTTAATAATTCTAAAATATCACATAATTCATGTGATAAACCCGAATTATTAAACCTCTAAGTGGGATTTGTCCGCGAAATTTTAAGTTTGATTGGTCCGCGTGATTTATTCATCAAATTTGGTTATTTTTCAAACGTAAGCGATGTCGTAGTTGTGATAACTAACGATAGTAAAAGCAAGAATTTTAGACTCAAAAATTGATAACCCAATACAGATTAATTTGTTTATTTAACATTTTTCATTCTTTTTCATGGGATTTTTTATTGGGTTGGTTAAATAATAAATTATCAGGTTATCAGGTTATCAGGTTATCCAAAAAATTACTTTGCTATTGCCTTTGACGATCATTGATTATATGTTTCACAATATATTAATGACTATTTGTTAACTACTGAATGTAATGAGTGTATGGATGATGAAGCCGCGAATCTTAAGTTTGATTGGTTCGCGTGATTTATTCATCAAATTTTGTATAGCGATAGCAAACGTAAGCGATGTCGTAGTTCTGCTAACTAAGCAAGAATAGACTCAAAAATTGGTAACCAAATCTAGATTAATGATATGATGCCTTGTAAGCTTTTGTTTAATTAGCTAATGCTAGTCAATTGCCTATACTGTATGTTAACTGAGATGCTAGATAGGTTTCATTTGTATCTTACTTGGACTATTTGTTAACTACTATATTTGCTTTCGTTCCTGGTTACCTTATGTTTGTAATCCACTATGTTTGTAATTGCATTGGACACCCCAATATTTTGTATGTATAATTAAAATTTGGATGTGTAAAAGTTTTCTAATTGCAGATTTCCCTCCGAAAACTATAAATTTCATCAACCGTTACTTCATATTATTAAAAAAAACTCCCAACTCTTCTTTATTGGATTTAGAACAAAGATTTGTTTATTTATACATTAATCCAAAGTTAATAGATTTCAAGCCATTAGTACACTTTTATCATAAGCCGGGTTGCTAACGCTTCAGTCCAAAAAACGGATCATCCGAGCTAACAACGCTTTTTATAACATTATGCACCATTAACCTGAAACTTATTAACTTATTATTATAAGCCGGGTTGCTAACGCTTCAGTCCAAAAAAATGGATCATCCGAGCTAACAACGCTTTTTATAACATTATTAACTTATTATTATAAGCCGGGTTGTTAATGCTTCAAATCTATTAATAGTAATAGATTATCTGGATTAACAACGCTTTTTATAATAATATAATTTGTTTTTAAATTTGAATATCAGAAATTAAATCATCATTGTAAGTGTGTATTGGTATTCGATCTGGCGTAAGAAGAATAGCATTATCTATGGCAAAAACTTTGTTTACTCGGAGTTAAGGAGTTTATTTCTCTAAGGGTTTCCTTGGCGCGTGCGGGAGTTATAAAGAAATCCAGTAGATTTACTGTTGATTCTTTTGAAGGACAAATCGTATTATCACTTGATGGTGATGATGACAGAATTGATGACGGAGTTGATGACAGAATTGATGACGGAGTTGATGACAGAGTTGATGTGGTGATTGTTTCGAAAGCACCAATTTTTTTGCTTCTTCGCTTATTTTCAAGGTATTAAAATCAACATTACCATTTTGGGCTACCCATTCTTGCTTATTTCTTGAAAGTTCATTCATCAATTTTTCCAATTTGTTATAATTTTTAGTAATAAAGATCTATAATACAAATAGAATCATATATGTAAAGATTAGTAAGAATATTTTCATAATTAAAATGTCATATTTATTTACAATCAGCTCATAAATAAAGTCTTGAACGATAGACTTTATGCATCATATGGTTCAATACGGATGGTTCTATTGTTTTTTCTGCACAATATATTACAGTATTAATTACAGAATTAATTAATAATTATTTAAACTCCTCAAATATGAAAATACTTTCTTTTTTTTTTGGTATTAAGGTGACCTCTTTGGTCCGAGCTTTTTTATTAATACTTATAGCAGGTACATGTTTTATATAGACGTATCTATAATGAACTATTAGACAAGTGTACAACTGGCTACACGTGTAACTTTTCTATATTACCTATTTAAGGAGTCCGCCCGAGGGTTCTTCACCAGTTGTCATATCTAACATTCCTGCTTAGATGCTCCATTTAAACCCTCTGATCTAACCTTAGTATTAATTTCACCAGGTCACGGACCCAGATCTATTCGCTATCAATCATAGGATTATAATCCTTAGACTATTTTTATTTTCAAGGTAAATTTACTAGAATAAGTCATATTTCCTTTTTACTATTAATCTGGTTTGACGTTATGGTCAAGACCAACACTTGCAGTTAGGTTTACCTTCTAAACTACTATTACCTTTGTAAAGTTTACCCAAACTCTGGTACTTATCTTTCTGATTTCTTTTCTATCATCTTCTACTAGTCGCAATTCGGAACTAACTGACTCCCAATTCAGATGGCCTGGTATAGTATACTTATGTATTCTTTTCCTTCGATGATTCTGACAGCCTGGTTGGTCATGTGCTTTTCTACACATCTTTGTCATCAAGTTTATCTAACAGTTCTTATAAAGGTGTTTCATGAGTTTCATCAGTTCAATGACACTATTAAAAGATTGTGCTATCTCTTTACTTAGGATTTTCAAGTGAGTTTCTGTCTCTTCGGTTTTTTAGCCTTCTACGTCCAGTAATCTTATTGTGGGTTTGCCTGAAGCCTTATACGACACTGGTTTTACATTCCTCTATGTACATGTACCATGTAATGTTACACTTTATATAGATGTCCTAAGCTCCCAATGTTAGGTGGGACCTGACTTGATGTATCTAAGATTACAGATACCCAAAACCCAACTGATCAGCAAGAGACAGTTACAATAATACAATTATAATTTCCAAAATTCATTGTCTGTAGAAATTGAATCTTAGACCTGCCACTTGAGGGTTGACAACCTATTCATTTTACTAGGTCACTACACCCCTAATATGAAAATACATATGTTTTATTTGAATTATAAATACATATAATTCATTCAATAAAATATTTAAGTCTGATTTATCCAGAACTGATCTGAATTCTGCCACTAAATCAATACACAAAGGCTTTTTCATCATTCATTTGCGATTGTTTCTACCAATATCAAATCTTTCGCTTATTTTATAAACTAAATATATATATCATATTGGTCATATAACAGCAAATTAAAATAACAATCAATTGTATTTTTTTTTTTTATTTAACTCAAGCAATTTATAGATCTGTTTTCTTGATAAAGATCTAGCAGATGTTATTTCTCTACTGAAGTTATAAAATTGATTAAAAATAATATAGAAAAAATAAAATTTTAAGTTTATACTTACAAAAATATATAAAGTTTATCATTAATATATGTTAATGATTTGAAAATAAAGCTATAGATAGTATTAGCTGTATATTATTATTTGCTAATTCTATCTACTTTGTAAGAATTTAACCAAATTGATTGCTTCTTGAATAAAGAAATTTTAAAATAAAGTACCTTAAATCATATATGAAATAATAAATACTTATTTTTACTTATATATAGTTCAATATAGTTCAATATATTTTACATTGTATTTTTATTTATAACTATAATTTGGAGAAATTTCTGGCTTTGTTGAATTGATTCACAGTAATGCAATGTTTAAATCTGTATGCTAAGCTAAAATATCATCAATACAACTCTTAACATATGAATCATTAAGATGATTGATGCTAAAGGATAATTTTTCTAATATATAGTTCAAATCCTCTTTAACTAAATTTTTTTTTAGCCAGGAATTAAGATTGTAAATAAAAATAATGCTACTTTTAATAGGACTAAAAAAATAAACATTAATATATTATATACTTATAAGTATATAAATATTAATATAAAACAAATAAATTTATTTACTCAAAATATCTTGACATTGTCGTTATCTATAGAATTTCTCCTCTAGAGATAACATCCTACCAGATCTTTGTTAATACTACACAATTCTATAAAACTTAGAATTAGTATGTATAAATATTAATAATACTATTTATAAATACCTATACAAGTTCTTATTTATCTTATATTTTTTTTAGAAATTCATTAAAATATTCTAAAAAACTCAAATAATAACTACTTTCTAATCGTGAATTAATATTAAAATCTCATTGCTTGAATCTATAAAGTAAAAAATCATATAAATTTCAATAAGTTGTTTTTTTAAAATATTGATAATAAGGATGTTTTGCAAATTTTAATATAAGGAAGAAGGAGGTATTGTAATAAAATTTACTAAGAACTATCAAGCTGTAGCAAATTTTAAAGTGATGAAGGTCGAGTAGAAGATCTTTTATTTAAAGGAAAATAAAATAAAAGAAAAGAAGAAATATAAAAATAAATAAAATAAATAA